ACGCTGTTGGTTTCAAGATTCGTCTGTGAGGTTTTCTTTGCAATTAATGTTGGCAAATATATCTACCTACTAAAACTAAAAGTGTCAATTCATCAATAACGAAAGGATTTTCGGACTACTAGCTTTCGTTTCATCTGAATGTGCGAGCGTACGGTGGGAGCGTTTGTTTGATTTGAGTGGAATTTATTTGTCTTGTCGCCAAAGCATCCAATGAAATTCGAGCATTTGTCTGGATTTTCTGTCTTCTACATTGGTTCTTGTTTCTAGTTGTTGTTTCTGTTGTTGTAAAATGCAAAAAGAAAGAAGTTGAAAGAATACATTTGTCCAAATATATAAATGAAATTTCGCAAGGAAATGTTTGGTTGACAAACTCAGGACTCAGGAAGAACGACGACGGATTATCTTGAAGTTGTAAATTTAAAATTATTCGATGAGTTTTGTTTTTTTTTTTTGTTATAAACCAGCTGAATTTTGTTTAAATGTTATGAAATTTCTCCCAGCGAACCCCAGGTGAATAACTCAGTGGGAGAGGAGACCAGGATGTTTGCATTATATAAAAAAATATTTATTGGTTCCAAGAGGAGTAGGTAGGCACTGTGACCAATGGCAGCCATGTAAGCCGTACAAAGTTCGCAAAAAATTCCGGAAGCATTGTCTGGAGGATGCATCAGACTAGGCCGAGCATACTCGGAAGTGCCATCAAAATATAACATAAGAAAGTTTTGTTATAAGGAAATTGAGAAGTGCAGTTCGAAAATTTCCTACATTTCATAGCGAAAATTTTTAGACATGAAGCAGTGCATATCATGCATTTAGTCGTTTGGTGTTAGTAGTCGCACAAGGTGATACCAATTAATTATTAATTTCACTAGGTAACGGATTTTGGAAAAAAGTAGGTAATTGTAAGGGAATTAAGGTAATTTTTTTTTTATAGGTTAAACAAAATTTGGCCGTATTTTATATCAAAAACGGGGCTCACCTCATCCTATTTGTTTTTTGATGCTGATTTGAAGTGCATTTACATAATTTTTCTAGCACGTCCAGTTTTTGCGAAAAAATGTAAAAGTGTTGAAAATTGACAAATTAAACAAATTTTGTTTAAATGGAATTTTGATGTAGTTTTTCCGAAGAAAAACCACGCATTAATGAAAATCTAATTCGTCTGATGGATTTTACCCCATGTCGATAGATTGACTAGAAATGTAAGTGAAATTAAAAAAAAACAAACAAAGTTCTTCAATAGCATGTACTTGTTTTCTCACAAATACGAAAATCTCAGTCTATGAATTTATTATAAAACAAATTGATTTCATGAACAAATCAACATTAAAATAATTAATATCTCCGATTCATGATTAGCCAGTCTTTTGTCTTTTTCCGCGTTCTGGAATGAAATCCTCAAAAATTCTTTTTTATGGATCCAGAAATAGTTAGCAAGCATGTGGCCACTTCTCCATAGTGGCTATGTCCTGGTCGAATCGTTCGCCATGTTCTTCGCTAGTGTTTTTTTTTACAATTTTTCTTTTTTAATTTTACACCCCTTTATAATCAATCCATCAGACGAACTGGATTTTCATTTATATGTGTTCTTTTTTCCTCGGAAAAATTATGTCCGAATTCTATTTTATTTTTTTTTTAGTTTGTCATTTTTGCCTTTTCAACATTTCAATAATTTTTTTTTCTCAAAAACTGGTACACCAATTGCATTTTCAGGGGTTTTTGGCGGACCTATAAAATAAAGTGGTTAAATAAATAATTGGGTAATATTATTGGGATTATTCCGACGAGAAACAGAATTTCCCGATCGAAAAATATTGTTAAATAATTCTATATCAATTCTATTAATTATTATTTTTTTCATATAATATATATCGAAAACTTTCAGGGCGCTCACTAAATAGTTTTTGATTTCAAAATGAAAAGCTAAGGGTATATTTTTTGGTATCGAACAGTCTAAGGGATGAGAGCATTAAAATTCCGATTTTACTTTTTCATATGCATTTTTGGACCACTGGTGAAAAATTTTGTACTAATATAGGGTTTATAAATATCTACTTTACAATGATATACTTTTTTCGAAAATTCGTGAGCTGGGGAAAAAAGAACTGCCTATACATTACCAGACTACCAAAATTTCCAAATTCCTTTATACTTTATTTTATGATTTTTCCATTTACATACATATAATTTTTGTTACTGGAAATTCGAGCGCAATTTTTTAATAAAAATATATCTGTCTTAGACCTTCTTACTCCCCTCTCTTTCGTGGCGTGAATTCAAAAGCGTTTCTTTTTTCGCAAGTCAGAATCGTTAATATATTTCTTATCGTGACATTTGCACTACTTTCTCTTTAATTTTAGTCGTCGAACACCCCAGTGAGAATTTCACTATGTTTTTGTTTTTACTAGATTTTTATTTTATTTTTTTAATGCTGCTTAGCCTCGGCTACGGTTGGGAACATCTTTTACTCCCCTTTTGATAGAATTCGAAGAATATCACTCTACTAATAATATTTTGTTACTTACTCTTTTGCTAAGGGTTTGGCCAAGCTTCTCCAATATGGGTGTGCTTCTTAAAGTTGTTACACAAATGGAGGAAAATGGATTTTATGAGAAGCTTTTTCATGCCGATATACACTCGCCGACCGTTGCTAGAGAATACTTTCTTTTTAAATTTTGGTGTTACCCGGCCACAGTGGCCACCCGATAGAATACTAAATACATATAAAACATTAATATGGTCCATACTTTAATCTGAAGAAGATTCGGGTTGGCTAAGAAATTATCATTGTTGTGTTAAAGTTTTCCACATCACCACACCTTCTTATATGGGAAATGAAAACTTAGTCACCTTATTCACCCTGTTGTTAAAAGTCTCACACTACAAGACTAACGGAATTGAGAGTGAACGGCTGAAAACAACATTTCCCAGTATATTGTTGACGCTACCGTAAATCGGAGCGTGAACAAAGTCGGAAGAGCAAATGAGAAACAGCGAGCAACTTAAAGAGAAGACACATCGTCCTGCTGAGCAAGAGACTAATTGGAGCGTGTAACAATATAAAATTGATAATCTCCTAGTTATTGCTACAATTAATTTATTATTTGATATTCGTGTGGTACATACATACATAAATACATAAATAGTTTTTACTTCAAAGGTAAATAGTAAAATATGAAAAACTTAATTGCATACAAAGACTATTAAATATCAAAAAAAAAAATAAAATATAATAGTAGCGAAACACATTGTGCATACATATGTATGTATGTACTAGGGTAACCACCCTTTAAGATGCGCAGAACCCGAGATTGAAACGATTCTTTGCAAAACTTTAACTCAACCCTGGAAGGTCACAGTCTATGTGAAAACATCAAGGAAATACTAAAAAAGTCATGTGAATTTAGTAAAATGTATGAAGTCTAACTCTCACTTAGAAATATAAATATAAAACTTTTAAATTTGAGTTGCAAAGAAGCGTTGTTAAATGCACAAAAGTACCTTCCTAGACAAACACACATAACGGAAGATATAATTTGATAAAACAGGAATGTACAAAACATATAAATATATATGTGTGTAAATAAGTTTCTTTGAAGGAAAAATGAGTTTGATGCTTAAAAAAATTAAAAAAACCTGAGAATTTTTTTGCAAACCTTGAGAAGTTTGTGGCAAACCCTGGGCCGGAGAATTGATCGGATCAGGGTGAAAATCCAATATGGCAACCCTAGTATGCCCATATGTATGTATGTATTTATGCACATTAGGGCGATCCTTAAATATTGGGAGCAAATTTTTATATCAGATTTCCTAAGGCTCAAACCCTTGACGACGTCTTAACCGACATAAACCGGAACTAAAATTTATATGCGATATCCTCGACTTTAGTAGTATCGATTTTGGGCATTAAGTGAAAAAACATTTATTTTTTATTTTTTGAGTCCTTGGAGGCATCTGTCCTTTGACCCCTTTGCGACACGCCTTAATCGACTCTAATCGGGACCAAAATTTGTGTGTGATATCTATGACTATGGCAGTATCGTTTTTGGGTATTAGATGAAAAAAAATTAAATTTAATTTTTTGAGTCTCCATTAAGGAATCTGAACTCAATGACAGTGGTGTTGCCGGTTGAAGGGGTGAGACTGAAAAAAAATCGTTCATTTGATTATAAAGACCACCCTTATGTATATATATGTGTTAACATTTTTATTTAATTTTTTTAAACAGAGTAATAACTGCATACATGGATTCAAATAAATCAATTCCAAAACGCAATATCTTTCATTACAATAATTTTCAACTTTTAACAGATTACCGAAAGGTACGTTTGTATGTACTTAGATATTTTTGATCAAGTGAATCGTCATATATATTTATCTTGAGCATAAAACTGCATTAAAAGGTTTTCTATTGACAATTGGTGACGAAAGTTTGTAATTATTCCTGTTCAGCTTTCTCTTCACTCTTTATTCAGCAAAAACAGCTCTTAGCAGACATCTGTACTCTTTCCTAAAAATGTTTTCACACATGAAGAAAATATGAGCAAAAACTCACAAGCATTTCAACTTTGGGAAGCTCTCCACCATGCAATGGACGCTAGCTTACAAAAGTGACAAAAGTTTCTCTCCTTCAGTTGTGTAACATATGCATACATATGTACATATGTACATACAACCACAGCATCCCTATCGTTGTGCGGGATAGGTCAAGCCGAGTGCTTTGCCTAAAAACGATGCCCCCGCATGTTGCTTGAGACCTTTTCGTGAGTGCTGAAGAGTCCCAATGCTCAACTGCTTTCTTAAGCGGAGCGAAACGAAGGGATTATTCGCGAACTTTGGGTGAGTTGAACTTCGTGCGGGTGCCCATACACAGCACGAAGCGATAGACTTGGTACATACATACAAACATACTACGTAACTTTGAGCGGGTGCATGATGGGGCTGACATGACTACCCGTTGGGCAGTTCGTGTGCTCTCGCTCTAAGCGACGACTTGCAATGCAAATCGCACTTAGTTGTGCTGATAACGCGTAACGAATTGGATCAGTGCGGTTACATGAGTTATATTGTTTTGCGTGTGCGACAGAATATACGTACGACGAAATTCGCGAATAAAAAACTTTCAACGAAGTGTAAATATCCGTTTGTTTGTGCAGCGAGTGGCCCTTAATTTTTCAAATATTAATTTTTTGCACTGTGAAAATCTTCATTTGCGATCATTTGCGTTAGCGTTGCTACTGATGAGTACATGCATATATATGTAGATAATCATACATAGTACATATGTATGTACATATATGTACCATGTGTAGGTGGGTTGTATATCTCACTAAAATTTTGTTTTTTTTTGCACTGCTGATTCGCCGCTCGGTAAATGCCTGGCCGCTACTAGGTACTTTTGAAATATAGATAATGCTCGTGTCTTCGAATTTTTATGAGGAAAACAACAACTAACTTGCCTACCGGTGTATAACTATATATGTGCATATGTATGTATATATGTATGCTGATAGAATGAGCTTCGTAGTGTAACGCGATTTGTGCAATTTGAACCGTTACCCTGTTATTGTGCTCGTCGCTTCTGAATAATTTTGAACTTGTACATACATGTGTATCCGCTTCTTTAAGAAGGCGACTTTGCAAATATTAAAAATATGTATAGAATTACTTTTATTTTTATTTAATATGAGAACGTGATATCGTGTATTCGGCTTCGATATATGTACTTAGCTGACATTCCCCACGGATTTCGATTTATTCTGCTGAGGTGAGTAAAGTATTTAAATAGTATATGCAACTAAATAAAAAAAGTTTTAAAAAACTATTTCAAGTCGATTTTATTTTGTGACGTAGTTGGATTTATCTAAGATTTCTCCAGTTTTAACCTGGGATTTAGATCCGAGGCTAAATTCTGAATGAATGAATGAATGAATATTTCCGGAAATTCTGAGAAAACAACTAAAGAGATTTGAGAAGCTTGAATTTAGAATAAAAATATCGAACTTTCTTACAAAGTGGCATTTCAAGCCCAGCGGGTAAAAAAATATAATGCTCTGGATTTCATTCATATTTAAGGCTATTGTAGTATTTTTACTAGGTTTGAAAATGTGTACTCGATTATTTTTATAAGATGATTGTTTGTCAAGTTACGGGCTTCAAAGAGTAGTATCTCTTTGACAAAAAATAACACTGGTTTACAGTAAAAATGTTCTATGGATGCCACTATCCAATTCCTATGTAGAATTGCTCGGTGATTCCGAAAATCAAGTTATTTTTTTTTCTTTGGGTTTGCTTCCGAGATATTTGCAATTTACCGTTATCCAGTTTAAAGCAAAAATTGGTTCCTTTTAATTACGTATATCTTACGAACCAATTTAAGAATCTTAATATAAAATACTGCAAATGAAAGCCAATGAAATTCTCCATAAACCGTATATACACCACTTTACGACAGGGCTTACTGACAAATTAATTAATAATTTCAGTTTTTTTTTTTTGTTTAATGAAAAAAATCAAAATTTAACTGAAGAAAAATTAAAAAAACAACAGGTTCTGTGCCAAATTTTTCCATATGTACTAAAGCCTGTTCTCTTACAAAAAAAAAATGAAGTTACTGATGAAGAAAATCGATGGATAAACACGAAATAATGAGTGGTCAAATAAAAATGAGCAGGATTATTTCTATCAAAATTGAGCATGAAAGAATGCTACTCATACGCCGCGTACACCTAAATAACACGCTTTTCATACAAAAAATCTTTGCGCATTTCATTTGACCAGTCATTAGCCGTCATCGCTTCGCCATCAGTTAGCGAGTGGCGAAACGAACGAACTCAATGAGGTACAACCAAACTCGTTATCGTCTATCCGTGCTAGCTAACTTTGTTGTTGCTTTCGCATGCAAAATTCTTCTTTAAGCGACCGGAACTCAAACATATACTACGTTTATACGCATGCATAAGTCGCTTTAATTCATTTCGACGCGATTCAAAACATATGTATAAACTGAATTTCAATTCGCTTTGAAAGAGCGAAGTGTTTTGGCTCACACTCCATTTCAAATCGGTAGTTTATTTCTCCAGCCAGTTAGAAAGAGTGTATAAACACCGCTCTCACTCAAAGCGAATTGGAGATCAGCTGTTCCGCTCAAATTTCAAATAATCGCATCAGTATTTAAAAGCTGATTAGTAATAATCGTTCTTTTTCTTTGCCACGATTTTATAATGCCGAATAAAACTAGATTTTTGTCACTTTCCATTATGTTAACTTATAAAATGTCAAATGAAAACAGTTGATTTTGTTTGCTTTTGAAGACGGTTACTTTGATGCCGATATAAAGCCGTAAGTATAAACAGTAGAGCAAAATGTGTACGGTGTCAATGCGCTTTCAATTAAGTCGATTATTCTGTGCGTATAAACGTAGTAATAGCGAGCGAGAAGTGGCGAATCGATGACGGCTATTATTTCGTATTTATCCATCGATTTTCTTCATCAGTAACTTGATTTTTTTTTGTTGCAACAGAACAGGCTTTTTATACAAATGCAAAAATTTGGCACAGAACTGTTCTTTTTTTTTAATTTTTCTTCTGTTAAATTTTGATTTTTTTAATTTTTTCATTAAAAAATAAAAAAGCTGGAATGATTAATTAATTCGTCAGAAACTAAAAGCCCTGTAGGAAAGTGATGTATATACGGTTTATGTACCAGATGATTGAAATCAATGTGGATCTGCTTCTCTGTTGCTAATTATTAATATTTTGCATTTCATATTGATTTATTAATTTCAATTCAATACAATCAAAACGAATATTCCATGTACAGTTTTAAACTTGAATGTGCTCTCAATAATCTCACGTTTTCTACGTTTAAGTTTAGGGGCTGTGGCTCCGACAAAGCCTCCAGGGCAAGAGGAAGGCGCCGGACTGATCCTTTTTTTGAGTGTGCGTCTTCTGACTATTTCTTATATTAAAATAAAATTGAAACCCCCGCAAGTGTCTAGTATTCAAGTCAGTTCCCTGTATATTAATATTACTATTTTCGTAAGCCATGCTTTTTTAATAGCTAGCCTGATAGTGATTTTATCTCCCTTACGGCCATTTCGCTATCGGAATTAAGTTTCGTTTTTCCAAAATTTGCTCTAGTTAACAGCTGGCCCATTGCCTCCTTGATAGCATCTAGGTATGTACCTTGATTTAGGAGAATCTCAGTTAGAAGGAGGACCAAATTTGAGGTTTATGCAGACATCTTGTTATGAACGTAGAAGAGTTCGCTTATCGTCAAAAGTTGCGCGTATTGCTCTTTTTTTAGGAAACTGCACTAATCTGTTCACATGAACTATTGAAGTATTCATGCAATGGTCTAGCAGCGGCATATGTGAGTTGCTGGGCGGGGCCGCTGAGGAATAAAACCGGTTTTAACTTCTACTTAATCTTTGACTGACATAAGTCAACGAAAACAAAGTCCTTTTGATGATAATTTAATAATTTTGTTGTTTTTACTATTTAAAATTTCTGCATTTATTTCTTTATATTAATGTTATTTTTTTTATGCACTAATCAAAAAAAAAAACCACAATGCTCGAAAGAAAAAATATTTGCTTTTGATGTTATATTCTTTTCATCAACTCCAAAAACAGTAACCTTGATTACTTGTCAAGCCTTGCCGGCAATATTTTCTTACAGGGGTACGCATTGGCTACAAGATCATTCAAAAGGGATTTTAAGCAGAAATATTCAACGCCTAATTATAAAGAGAGATGCCTTTAATTAGGTAAGAATTACGTAACGGTCAAAGCTTAGTTTTCAAAGAAAACAACTCGACGTATCGCCAGTTTTTTCTTGTTTTTTTTTTTTAAGTTAAGTGTAATAAGTCTTTTAATCTCATAAATTCTGTTTAAGTACCTTACCACTACTTAGAAGAATAGCATACCAAATAATTTCGACCGGTTTTACTATGTATGTAAATACTCCTCCGTGTGTTGTTCAGAATGTGATATGATCCTATGCCACGATTGAGAGAAATAGAGGTGGCGCCCATCTCGGTACCGCTATTCCGCTCTCAGTGAATTTGACAGAATAGTTGTTTGTATGACGTCACACTTGTGCAACTTGTTTACGTTTTTCTTGCAACATTTTTTCTTCTTCTTCCATTCTTGCTCACGTTTTGGCATTTCTCAAAAATCCTCTCTGATAGGCGCAACCTTGTATTCTATCATTCTTGATCCTATGCGATAGTACAAACTAACTTATTTCTCGTAAGTTCATCCTCCAAAACATTTCGTTCGCTCCTCTAGTTGTAAATTGTATGTACATATGTACATATATTATTTTTCCATAATAAAGTTTTTCCGCGTCGCTGAATAAATTATTATCGTATTTTCTCATTTTTACCGCTAATAAATTTTGATCCTTGCAGAGCTTATCGCATAATCTCTGAGCGCTTTGTTTTTTATCAACTAATAGTGTTAAGAGTATATAAATTTTACCTTTAAAAAACTGTTTGTACAGATGTACAGATGTATGTATGTGAGCGCATTGTGCCTAATTTATGAAGTCCTCTGCCGGTGGATATACTCGTTTAGTGCAAACTGCCAGCACAAATGTCAGCAAATAAATCACAATTTTAAAGCAAAACAAAAATCACAGCCAAAAAAGAAATTTCCTGGCAACTGAATAGCCAAAACAAACAACAACAACAATAACAGCTTCCCGAAAGGGGAGAAACATAGGAATGTCCCACTGTGGAAAGAAGGTCACAGCGGTGACGATAGCGGTAAAATTTTGCTCGTTTTTGGGTCACAAAAACATTAAACAAACAAACAAAATAAAACAAACGGTTGACGGATAACCTTTTTAACATCGCATGTAGAAAAAATAGCTAGATAGAGAAAAAAATAGTTTGAGTGGGATGATAATAACAAAGTGAGCGAAGCAAAAACAAATTAACATAAACTAAGGACATAAACTGGTGGGTGTGAAGTAAGGGATAAGGTTCGCGCTGACCAAATAAGGCGACGGTGGTGTCGCGTGATGGGACATAAATAAACAAATAGAATCGCAGTCGTGCGTAAACTTCAGTAGCAGCTCAGTAGATCTGTCAGCAGCTTCCTCTAGTATTACTACGTACACCCTTTCTTGTTAAATTTCGCTCCTTTCTGTTTATTTTCTTTCTATTTGTTCATCTCATATTCATCTGAGTGTTATGTGAAATTTTGACGCATTGAAGCGTTGCTAATATGTTTTGAGTGAGGCTTTGAATATCGCACCAACTACTGTGAGGCCCTGGCAGAATGAAACATTTACATTACTTTTAGAGGTTAATTGTATTTTTTTTTTTATTAGATAAATGAAACCGGAAAGTGTACTAATATTTACAAAACATCTAATTTAAAAAAATGCAGGACAACATTGTTCATTTTCCTCATTTTTCGAAATTCTATGTATTATTATTTATGACATAATCATTTCAGTTCAAAAGATAAGCAGTTGGCTTAAAATTATTAGATAAATATTTCTTCTTAATAAGGCCTATTCTGCGTGTAACCGATGGTTTTGTAACCGAAAAACCTTTTATTAGCAAAAAATTTTACCAGTTCTTGTCACCGCGATTCTGGGTACATTGGTAATGCAGTTAAAATATTCAGCAATTCAGCTATGAAGATTTGTGTAGATTCTGGCATTGAATAATTCTCGGAGCAATATTTTGTTACTAGCTTATGAGATGGTAACACATTTTACCGGTTACAAGAGTACACGCAATGCGAAAAGA